CCCCCCCCGTTTTTTTTTCTCCTACATACATTTCCTAGAACTGCAAGAAATCCACCTCCTTTCTCCCAAGCCCAGATGCAAGACCCATCTTCCAGCATGGAACAGGTAGCACCGTCTTGCCGTGTTGTCACACATTTACAGCTAATCCTCTAACCCAGCTTTCATCACTGACAGGCTGCAACCAGGAACGTCAAGAGAAACACTCAAGTTGAACACGCGAAGATGACAACAGAGATACAAGAAAAAAACCCCCCACACTTTAAAGCAAGAAGAGCACAAGATTCAATGCAATCCATTTTAAGAGTCTCAGCCTCATAAGCCCTATGAAACAACAAGTTCTTAGGCACAATAGTAATCAAGCAATCACAGGCAGCTGGTGGGTTTTACTTCTTTTTTAATAAAAGAAGGTTATGTCTGCATAGATCTTTGTGGCATCTGGTCTCTAAGTTCTCTCCCCCACACTCAGGGGTCAGTTGCTCTAATACTACAAAGTGCTTATCTACACATGAAGAACTACATAGCCGGAAATTTGTGGAAGGACAAAATAAGCTAACTCCACATATTTTGGAATTACAGCCAAGCAAATCCTTTAAGTGCCAGCAAGGAAAACACCAGTACCATCCAACAACACTTCCACATGACTGTAACCCCCCCAAAATCCAGCTTTACAGCAGAAACATAGGACAACATGCAGAAATACAATCAAAATAACATAAGCAAATGCAGAAAAGTCAACATTACTCTCACTAGTTTCCACCATGGATTCCTTGGTTAAACAGAAAAAAGAAAAAAAAAAATCAGATCAGTTTCTCACCAACCTACTCAGTTTGGCAACTGAGAGAAGGTTGTTCTTTCAGACAACACCCCGCTACAAAACTGAAGTCCAAAGTCAGGTGAGTTGTTTGTCATCAAATGCACGACTGAAGCCCATTTACTCTGCACTAGCTCAATATTATCAGTATGTTATCAGTGGAAATAAACCAATTTTGAGTGGATCAGTTACAAAACGTGGTTAAAAAGGTTCAGTTTCTACCCCAGGAACTTCCCCACGATATCACCACAGTGAAACAACAGCCATGACCTGCAGAGTGGTTTAAGAAGCTGGAGCATCGCTTATTCTCCCAAGTATTTTTTCTGATGTGATACTCTAATGGAGGCAGGAACAACCAGGTTTAGCACCCATAACGAATCTTGTTATTCCAGAGCTATACACAACATGAACTTATTACAAACATTCGTGACCAGTGGTGAGGAGGGGGATAAGATACCAACAGTTGGTTCCATATCCCACAGAAGCCAAGTGCAATGTGTTAAATCTGTTCTTCTACAACTCTTTTGGAGAAACTCTCTCCCCGCTCCGCAGAACTCACTCTCAGCCTGGAGAAAATCATGTATTTTTCTGTTCTCCACGATGTGTCATACACCGGTGCAGAAGGAGTCACCCTGAGCCTTGCTACAAGGCTGCTAAAGTGATTCCACAGCCAGTTTTGGAGAGCTACTGTGACAAGCATGAAGAAAAAACCTACTAAAACCAACAATTCACCCACACAGCAAGCATGCATCCAGCAACAGGCAAATAGTCTTACTAGATTGCTCTGCTGAACAAAAGTCATCTTTAGCACACTGGACTACCAAGAGCCCTTTCCATGCCTACAAAATTGACTGTATTGTACAGATTGCTTTGCTAGGAGGATGCTCCTGCTCACTCCCTTCTCGGCAAAAAGCACAGAGCAGCTCAGTCTACCGGCTTATCTCTGATCCAGCAATCCCTTTTCTTCCCCCAGCATAACACAGAAGCAGAACTTTTGAACACTGCTCAAAATGAAACCATCCAACAGTCAAGTATATCATGCCTCAAAATCAGAATCACACCGCGTTTACTTACAGCAAGTATTGTTCTCATTTCAGCTGAGAAGGGAGAGCGTCAGAGCTCTTCATCCTCCTTCCACCTTCACATTGCTTCGCAAAGCAAAGAAGAAAAACCAACTGTGCCCAGAAGTCTCCAAGAAATCACAAGATAATCCGAAGAACTGAAAGCGAAGATACTTAAGACAGAACCACCTATTTACTGCC